TTTATTTTTTGGGCGATGAGCATCATGTTATATACTAACATTATGATATTTCGCTAATTCATGTTGTCTTGCTATTTTACGTAACCCCAAACTAGAAAGACAATATGAATAACTTATGTAGCTCAATGTCAGATTGTTTGGTGTGGAAGAATATTGGCTTGTTTTAAGGACCTGTCATCAACTCTTCCCTCAATGCTTTTTCTTATTCCATTTTGGTACCTTAAGAAACATTCCCCTAATGCTTCTTCTTATTCCATTTTGGTATCTTAAGAAACGTACTAAATAGGAATAATAAGTGAACATGATTTTGAAATTTTTATATATTCGATCTTTAACATCTTTCCTATAAATTTGAGGCAATTACAAATATGTCACTTTTGCTATGTACATTTGCAAGAATGCCATTTAGGAGTGCCCATTTGCAAAAATGCCACTAATTATGAATTTTTAAAGCCTAAATCTTAAAATTATAAACCCAAAAAAATGTTTTGACCCCTAAAACCCCTAAAATCCTCAAAACTAAACCTTAATACAACATAGTTAACTCAAACATAAATGATATAATGAATTTTTTTTTTGAAAAAATAGCATTTTTTTCAAAGATATTGAAAATTTGGCATTTTTGAAATGTGGCATTTTTTAAATTTTCTCAAACTTTAACACCATTCGATTATTCTCAAAACTATTCTAATTCTCAAGAAACTAGGAATAGTAATTGGAAAATTCAGTTCAGGGAAAATCAAATCTCTAAATTTTTGGAGCATTTTGAAGGAGTGTTTAGGTCTCGGCTAGAAAATAATACTTCCAAAGTTCTAATTTTATGCCATTTTTACTTATCGTGGAGTTTAAAGTAAATATAACAACACTGGCTAGCGGGTTCTTATTAAAAACATATTTACTTAAAATCGCACATATTTGCAACAGATTCTGAAGTATGTTTTGAGTAACTATTATGCAATACGTTATTGAGTGGTTAGGCAAAAATTACCATACACGAATATCTTAACGCAATGTTTAATACATCATTTTCATAAAGATAAGAACCACAAAGCAAATGCATATGAACTTTGCAAACCACAACCGTTTATAGATTTCAGGAACCGAAACCTAACGTACCAATGTGATCTGGTAAGTGGTAAGCGGTTACAATATAGTGCAAAGTTATAAAAAATAGCTGTAAAATAAAACTGTACGAATAAAGTTGAGTGTAACGATTTTGGTAAATTTTTTGATATCGTTTTTGTGATTGATACAATATTAATGTGTTTGATTGGTAACACAATTTGTACAGCTTACAACTACTTTACAACTTTTAACGTTTTAGATTGTACCAATCTCAAAAGCGATACCAAAATTTTAACCAAAAACATTATACTCAATTTTATTTGTACAATTTATTCTTATAGCTACTTCTTAAAGCTTTGCACTATATTGTAACTTTTTACCCCTCCAACTTAGAGCTGTAAAAACTTGTACCACTTGACGTTATCAATCAGACCCAATATAAAACATTACAAACTGTAAAATGGCTGTAAAGAATATAAATTGTTTTACCAATCAAAAAGTTAGGGCGACATTATTCTTTTCAATTTACAAACTTCAATAAGGTTTGTCCAGTGTAAAGGTCGTATAAGTTCTAGCCACATATTATTTTATTCATAAGTCGGTTTGAAAAGATTCTCAAAAAGATTCCATTTAATGCCAGCCACATCATTATATAATTATATTAAATACATGCATTCAGGATCATAGCTTTTTCCCCCGTTTTCTGATATAAACTGATGCTTTGAAGTTTGAATAACGCATGATTGGTTACTAATTTTCTCTCATAACAATGACTGCTGATATTTGAGCCGATTCACTAGCTCTCGAAATGCACGGTCGCAGAAGATTACAGTTTCATATGTTGGCACATCGATGTCCTATTAGTTTATAGATAGATAAGTACTATATTTATCATTTTCTAGAGAAGAAATTAGGTAAATAACGTGTTAAAAAATATAATTACGTAACCGTAAGTAGTAGAGAGAATTAAATATATGACAAAATTGTTCCTATATATGAAATTAAGATAAATATGAAAAAAAATCCCAAAAAATTATACTCTTTCTATATCTCAAAAAATATATATGCATGCATCTCTATAGTTAGACGATACGTGTGATGTAATATGTGCATTACATAGTTATGGAATTTTCTGATGTAGACGTATTATTAAAATAATTGATCAAACAAAACGAAAAGATTCTCAATCATCCAACAATTTCATATTCTCAAGATCAAATCTTTTTGTTTTTGCTAGATGCATTGAATACATGGCATCTATTACATCCATAATGCATATCTTCGTACTCAAACTTCTGTCGTTTATTCCGATATTGCAGATGGCTGGAATTGTTATGAATTTAGAAAGAACATGGATACAATTAAAAAATTAAATGATGTGTTCATA